AGTAATCTCTCCACCATCTAATTCGTCCAAGATCATGATCATAATCAAACCCATGCTTGTGAAAACAAAATCTGGATGATTTTCTCTGAAAGTTGGCCATTAACAATTTAACAGTTAATGATAAAGGCCACTGCTTTATTGGAAAACTAGTCAACCAGGAGAAAAATTAAATACAAATAATGGATAAAGACATGCCAAAACTGTGGTGCAAAAAGATAGAATCCTATCAAAGGAATTTTAAAAGATAAGAAATGAGTGTGATCCATGCACAAACATGAATAAGAGGTTAAAAAGATAATCAATCTTCCTAAGTGTGATTTGGGGAATTTGTTAGAGTGATGCTATCCATGTGCTACGAACAGAGTCAGGAAGATCATACCATGTTCATCAACTATTTGTAATCACGGGGAGTCACAGCCCAATTGGTGTATGTAAATGACATAATTATTATAGCTAATGATAGATGAGAGAAGTTGGTACTCAAGCAATGTCTAGCTAAGGAATTTGAGATTAAAGAGTTGGAAAAATTAAAATACTTCATGAGGACAGAGGTAACCTACTCTAATTTCGGCATATTAATATTTAAGCAAAAATCCATTTTAGATCTCTTGAAAGAAACTAGCAAGCTGGAATGCAAATCTGCCAATACACCAATTGTCCCAATTACAAGTTGGGACTCGCAGAGGAAGAGCCTGAGGTGGAGAAGGAAATGTATCAGAAGCTAGTGGGAAAGTTGATATACTTGTTACATACAAGGCTAGGCATTACATACACAGTAAATATAGTAAATCAATTTATGCACAATACAATTAATAGGCTGCTCCTTGAAGCGTATATTGATGCTCACTATACAGGTTCCTTTGTTAACAAAAGATCTACATTTGGCTGCTACATATTTCTTGGAGGAAAGCTAGTGACTTGGAGGAGTAAGAAGCAGGATGTTGTATCCCGATCTACTGCCCAGTCAGAGTTTAGGATTATGGCCTACGGGGTGTGTGAAATCCTATTATTGAAGATGGTTTTGGAAGACTTGAAAATTCAGTAGGATGAACCTATGTGACTCTATTGTGATAATAAATCAGCAATTAGCATTGCTACAACCTTGTACAACATATCAGGACAAAATATATTGAAATTGATTGACACTTTATCAAGAAAAAGTTGAATAGCGGATTTATACACACACTATACATGTCCATTATGTTGCAACCTGCAGATATATTGACCAAGAGGTTAAGAAATCCTAGATTTCAAACTATTACTAGCAACCTGAGAATAGATAATATCTATTCATCAATTCGAGGGGGCGTGTTTGGAAAGTGTATAATAGGTAGGATAAAAGATATATTAGTAATATATTTCTCTCATATAATTGATAATATTTCATTTCATTGTTCATAAAACTTGTTAGAGAGAGTCATATTATTCATCAACACTCATACTTCATTCTTCACAGTTTAACTAACCTAAGAAAGAAGGATAGAGGGCTTAATGATAAGAATATATAGCTACCATCGGGAGATA